CTCTAGCTGCCGTGGATAAGGCAATGTACTCGGCTTCGGTGCTGCTAAGTGCCACCGAACTTTGCTTTTTGATTCCCACGAAATTGCCCCGCCAGCAGCAATGAAGACGTACCCGCTATACGATTTGCGATCTGTAGTATCGTTAGCCCAGTCAGCGTCCACGTATCCATGTATCTCCTTTCCAGTAGCCTGATAGTGAAGCTTCATGTTAGCCGTGCCTTTAAGATATCTCAGCACGCGCTTTGCCGAAACTTCATGCTCCTTGTGAGGATTGGCGTTGCGCTGCGCCAGTTTCACTACCGAGTGTAGTATGTCTGGCCTAGTTGTTATAGCCAAATACATCAGGGTGCCTATTAACGATTGATAGCCTTTCTCGTCAATGGCCTTGCATTTGGCGTCATCACATTTGACTTGATGACCCGCCTCCAGTGGTGTAGCTACAGGTTTGCATGTTGACATGCCCCAGGCATGAAGCATCTGCTCGACATACTGCTTATGGCCGATAGCTATGCTGCCAGTTTCGCCATCGCGCTCAACTTCGATGCCCAAAAAGTGATTGAGCTGGCCGCCATCCACAACATCAAACTTATTAGCGATTGATGCTTTGATGCCCAAAAGTTCATCTTTATTTGAGCTGGCAAGTAAAAGATCGTCAACATAAACTGCTATTATATTTATACTACCTTGTCCATTGCGTACATATACGCACGGCTCGCTGACACACGGTGTAAAACCAAGTTTTTTCAATACTGCGTCGAGCTTAGTATTCCATTCTCTGCCGCTTTGTTTAAGCCCGTACAGAGACTTCTTTAGCTTTAGGACCTTCTCGGGAAACTCTTCGCTTACGAACCCATCTGGTTGCCGCATGTACACGTCCTCCGATAGCTCGCTGTTCAAGTAAGCAGTAGATACGTCCATCTGATGCAAATGCAGCTTCTTCTCAACCGCCAATGCCATGATCATTCTAACGGACGGGTATCTGACCACAGGTGAGAATGTTTCCCAGAAGTCAACACCATAGCGCTGAGCACATCCTTTGGCAACTAGTCTTGACTTAAAGCGCTCTACATAGCCTTCCTTGTCAACCTTTACGCCAAATACCCACTTGCAGCCTATAGCCCTTTTATCTTGTGGCAGATCCACTAGATCCCACGTGTTATTGGCCTCTAGCGCATCCATCTCCTTCTGAATCGATGCTGACCATTCCTGCTTCATTCCTGACTGATTAACCTCACCCAAATTTGCTGGAATGTGTATATCCTCTGCCTTCAGCATATTCAGACAGTTGTATTGCTTACGTGGTCGCCCCGGCTTGCCAGTTTTAACGAGTCTTGGACGCCCTGGTCCACGGGTTTCAGATACAGCAGGCTGCTCTGCCTCATCGCTGATAGCACTCTCGTATTCATCACTGTTCTGATCATCTCCTGTGTCCAAGTCATCCTCTCCGACGTCCAAATCATCCTCTGCCTGAAGCTGCTCATCATTGTTGTCTTGTGCCTGCTGATTATCTGCTACAAAATCATCAAACAATGCCATTTCCATTTTATCGCTTGAGATCCACCTACATTATTTTCCATGAAAATAACATCTCTGCTTTCAATAACTTTCCTTGATTTAGGACAAAACAAACGATATGCTTTTTGCCGTTGCTGAATAGCCAATCATAACGTATTCATTACCTTTTTGGCTAAACTTCTTTTATGGGCTTTATTCAATACGATTGCCTTTGAGCCAAAAACCTTGAGGTGCGACACATACGGTTTCTTGCCAACCCACGCCTCATATGGTGTCATGTTGCACAACGCTTTTGTTTCTGACCTATTGCGCAGATATGCTGCAGTCTGTACTGCCTCAGCCCACAGGCTCTCATCTGCGCTTGAATGAATCAACATACTCCTGGCCATTTCTACCAGAGTGCGATTTGCTCTTTCGGCAACTCCATTTTGCTGTGGAGTATAGGGTACTGTCAGCTGTCTTACTATACCGTTTTCAGTAAGAAATTGTCCAAATGCGTGGCTCACGTACTCGCGCCCGTTATCGCTTCGAATTGCTTTTACTTTCTTTCCGCGTTGTTTTTCTGCAAACACAACATAGTCTTTGAATGCGCTTAGTATTTCATCACGAGATTTTAAAAAATAAACAGCTGTATAACGCGAGTGATCGTCAATGAACGTTGCAAAATAACGCGCACCCCCGACAGACGGTTTGTTCATTGGTCCACATATGTCCGAATGAATCAAATTCAACACTTCTTCTGAACGACTTTCAGATTTCTTTGGAAATGGTTTCACACTAATTTTACTTTTGGCGCAAGTCTCACACGCATTGCTGTTTGAGTCAATTTTTGTATTAACTGTTTTTAAACCATTCACCATTCCACCACTCGCCATTTTAGTTAAGCTTGACAAATTTATATGGCCAAAACGATAATGCCATTTCCACATTGCACTGCTGTTTGTATTAGAATACATACACTGCTTCATTTTTATGTCAATCATAAACAAGTCACCATATCTGCACGCTTTCAATATGTCCACATTTTGTTTATCCCTAATCACTGCTTTGTGGTTATCAAAAATGACTTTATATCCATTTTCAACTGCTTTAGCCACCGATATAAAGTTTGTCTGTAACTCTTTTGCATACAACACATTTTTCAGTTCTATTGTGAAACTTTTTACACTAACACACACAGTGCCAATGCCATCGGCCAACACAAAATTGGCGCCAGCAAGAAATATTTTTTCTTTGTGCTCTCTCATTTCTACGAACCACGACTTATCACAACACATGTGTACAGTCGCGCCACTGTCCAGACACCACATTGATTTGCTCAAATTGTCAGTTTTCTTCACATTCGCCAGAATAGCAAGGGCTCTCTTCTTCTCAGTGCTTGTGTCTTTGTCATTTTTTAATTCTTCTTTGCACTGAGCTATAAAATGACCTTCGCGTCCGCACCTATAGCACTTCTTTTTCTTTTTTGTATTACCCTTTTGGTATACATTCTTCGCGCGCGACATAAATGCTTGCTGCACACTGCTGTCCGCAACTTCACTTTTCACTTGTTGTCTCTGTCCTTCTTCAATAATTTTTATTTTCAAGTCAGATAAGGACGGCAACATTTCTCGCGTCTCGATTGCCACAACGAAATTTTCAAATGATTTGCCTAAGCCGGTTAGCAACAAAATTGTAAGCATGTCTTCACTTATGTTCATTCCTATTTCGTTTAACTTTTCCACTATGTCCGAGAATTCACTTATATAGCTTTGCACACTTGTACTTTCTAGCAAGCTCATTCGCAGCAATCTTTTAAACAATGCTATTTTTCTAGCTGGTCCGCGCGGCTGGTACACACTCATTAATTTCTCCCATGCCTCTTTTGACGACGTGCAATTCTTTATGAAGTTAATTTGCGACGACTTTACACCCAGCAATATGCTTGCTAATGCCTTTTCGTCCCGTGTATCAAACAATGCGTTTTGTTCTTGGCTATCCCCTTCATTTTTCACAGTTCTCCCGCACACAATTGGCCACAGATCACTTTGCACCAGAATGCTTTTCATCTGTACCGACCATACCGCGTAATTTTCCTCATCCAACTTTTCGATGGAACATAACCCGTGTCCACTCATGTTCATTAATTTTTTCGCAATCACACACAGTAATTTAAATTAATGTCACAGTTTTTTATCCACACGAGCCCTGGGCCCATAACCTGTTGGTTATATGATATTTTATTTATTGTGGAACTCGGATAAGAAGCTGTATGTTTAACATGAGTAACTTATAAGTTTATATGTTTAATAAGGCTGCGCGACAATATGTGGTGACGTCTTCAAAAGCAGATACAAGAAGAAAGAATACATAAGAAAATATCGCATAAAGCAACAAAAGGGTAGCTTAAGAGTGACCAAAGTTTGTATATCGATTGTTGCCCGACAAATCATATTTCAACACGAAACTAAACAACTACATTAACTTTAATTCGATCAGCTAATTGTCGCTTTTATAATTAAAACACAAATCGTATACGAGAAGACGTAACTTTTTTATGCAACTGACAAATAAATAAATAAATATAAAGTTGTTACAAACACACCTTAATTGCCAGCGAGGGGAGATTCAGATAGCCAACTAATTGACAGAAATTATTAAGTTGTATAAGGATATTCAAGGTTTTCGGTGATTTTAATTAGAATTCTGATTGGTTGGCTGCTTAAGTTGTGGTACTAAGAGTTGGCTATTTTGATTGATGTTAAAAATGCTGTTAAAATATAGACATAAATTATGGAAATATTTTGAGTAACATAAGCTTTGTAGTAACTAAAATTATATGTTCTTTTGTCGTCTTAAAAATGTTAAATAGTCTTTTTTATTATCATATTAAAATATATTAAAATTGCTTTATTAATAAATATACAAATTTGTTTAAAAGAAACAAAATTTATAGCCTTTTTCGACTTTGGTAAAGACGACGTAAAGATGTTTCTTAAAAACCATTTCTTAATAATTTTCTTTAGGGAACTTTGTTGAAAAATTCATAAATGATCTTCTCTTTCAAATAAAGAGTTTTATTATGTTTTTTTAGAAATTTCTTAAAGTTAAAATCCCCAAAAACTCAGCAGAATCACAATTTGATCACCAATCTTGCCCAAGAAGAGATTTTTCTTTCGTTTTTTAAGATTCATTAATATTTTCCTTTCTTCAAGATCAACCTTCCCTTGGCATAGTCTTAAGGCAGAAAACAAACAGAAGCAGAAGAAGGAGGCTTTGTTGTCTTTGCCACCTGCCTGCTCACCTGTATCTTTATTTTCGGATTCGAAGTGTGTGCCAGTGTGTTTACTGCTCCCGACAGTCGCTGCCCTCGGGCTGATCGTACCGCCCAAGCAACCAACCATCCAACCAACCGACCAACCGACCGCTCCACCACCCACCGCCCGCCGTTTATACCGCCACCCACACCAAGCCTAGCAAGCCCGACAGCGACTCTGAATCTGCCGACGGCGGCAGCGGCGTTTTACCAGCGGAACTCATCAAATTCAATACGAAATATATTTCAGTCGCCGAGTTCAGCTCAACGCCGATGGTTTAGACACTGAAAAGCTAAAAAGCTGAAAGCTGCAAGCTACGAGAGCTCGTTAAGCCGAAAGTGGCGTCTGAATAAATACAGAAAAAAAGAGAAGGAAAAAAACAGAAAGAAAATAAACAAAAAATTAAAAAAAAAAACCGAAAACAGATATAAAAAAAAATAAAGAAAAACAGTTTTTTTGTTGTTGTGTTTGTCACCGCCGTTGCCGTTGTAGATGTACTTTTAATTCAATTCCCATTGCAAGTTGCACATTTCCATTGCCAATTCCCATTTCCCATTTTCCGAAATTCCCAAAAAGCGATCACACAACTGCTATTGCAGCCGCGTCAATGTATGTTAGATGATTGCCAGCCAACAACAACAGCAGCCAAAACCAACCAACAAACAAGCCAAAAGGAGGAGCCATTCATAAAAGTTCCAGGTAAAAGTTAGAAAAGTCATAAAAATTTGTTAATATCAATCCAAAATGGTTTCGGATTTCCGCAAGTGTATATATAGGTTTATGTGGTATATATAAACATAGTTGATCCAGCAATTGCTTACAGCATCTATCTATCCCCCATTTATGTCTGCCTCTGAGTGTGTGTGTGTGTGGTGTGTGTTTGTGTGTGCCTTTTACTAATTTTATTAACGACATGTAAATTAAATCAAATCCGCTTGTTTGGCCATCGTCATGCGCCCTCTCCGGTTCTGCGCTTTTCGAGTCCCTTTCGCTTAGGGTTGTCGAAAAATATCAACATTATAAAGTTTACTTCAATATTTTGAATATATTCCTATAAGATTTACAAGGGAATTAAAAGTTTTTGTGATTAAAATTTGCATAAAGCGATTGAATTAAACATAAAACTGGTTTATCTTCATATTTAAGATGATATGCTTAGTCTTACAGTATTTAAAGTGTTCAAAAATCAGACATATATACCTATATCTTATCTTTAACTAACAAATAAGCATAATTTATTCCAAGTTTCACCTAAAAAGTTACCTTTAACCAGCTTTCCTTAACAAATATTCTTAAACTTCCTCCCAAAAAAACAAGCTTTAGCCATCAACCTTTCCCAAAAACATTCCCCATTTTCCACCTTAAATCCCAAATTGAATTCCCAAAAATTTTAAAATTTAAACAACTTATTTAACTTTGAAAACATTTCCATTTTTAGCCAAACTTAAATATCTAATTTATTGTTTGTTATTGAAAATTTTGACAACCCTTTGCTATGACAAAAAAAAGTAAAATAAAATTTCGGGGACAATCTCGTACCAGCCAATGGCCATTTGTCAGGCCCAATTAATTATTATTATGGCCTGAATAAATCTACGCAAATCGTATTTAATTTATACTAAATTTAGTTGTTTTTCTCTGTCTCTACGGCTAAATGAGATCCGTGTTTCTTTTTTAGTTTTATTTTTTGCGCTATTGTTTGATTGCCCAAATTAGTGGGTTCGTTTATCATTAGTCTGATCGCCGACGAATAGTGAGCGAGACTAGTGAAAAGTACATATATTGTCTTTGTGAAAAAAGTAGGTATATAAGGTTAAGGGAAAGATATTAACTAGATATGATAGTTAAGCTTTTATAACAGAAATTTTATTTTTAAGCTAGTAAAAATAAAGATTTTTAACTTAGCAAAGTCTGGTATAAAGTTTATAGCCAAAAATAAAGCTAGAAATATTATTAAGACTATTACGAAAATATATATCTTCTTCTAAATTTTAGTTAAGAAATATATTTCCCAACATAATAGGTATCCTAAAGTCTACTATAGTTTTTCTATATATTTTTTTATCAATTTTTGTTTTGGTTTTCTGTTTCTCATTGCGGGCGGCAGCTTCAGTAAGTTTGTTTATACTTTGATTTCAGGGGAACTTCCGCTTAGAGGTATACAAAAAAAAACCAATAATGAATATTTATAAACTTAAATAGTCAAAGAACTTTGTCATATCAATGAAAAATGGTTTACGCTGAACGATTATAGCTTGTATTCATGTTTTTAGCTGCTAATTTTATCAGTGAATTGTCCATAAATAAATCCGAGAAGAAAAGCTTTTCCTTTTCTCTTTTATTTAGTGTTGTTTTTTTTTTTATTTCGCCAGCTAATTGTATTTAATTATTTCCAATTTAGTCCCCTCGACTAAGGCAGAACTTTGTTTGTGTCACGGCCAGACTTCGTAGATGTATCTTTGTATCCGTATCCGTATATTTGTATCTGAATGGCGGGCACTACACCGCCGCGCGTATCTGTGAGATGCCTCTCTCTCTCTCTCTATAGATATATATATATATCTAATATCTAATTGTATCTGTCATAGACATGCAATTAATAACGTAAATGGGTAATTTGGAGCGCCATCGCTTGTTCGATTCGCTTGTGTGAAAAGTTTTGTCAACCAGCCGGAAATGAGCGAAGCAACATTGCCGGGAAAATGGTTGCCTTTACACCATCCCTCTCTCTCTCCCTGATATTTGGAAAATTAAATAATAGTATAATATAATTGAATGAGAGGGCAGGGGGAGGTAATAACTATAGGCACTCGCCAAACAAAAAATATTTGGTAATAATCATTGTAATGTCCCTCCCTCTGTCATTTGTTTAACCCGCCGTGATTCATATCGTGGGAAGAGTCGAAATTATATGTGTACATCACCCGTGTCAGCATGATATTTGGAATCCACAACTAATGGCTACACTTGAAATAAAAATGTTTGCCAGTTAAAGGTAGAAAATTGGGTATTAAGAGGGGGAAATTAGCGCAAAAAAAGGTTTTTAATGACCAAATTACGCAGAATTTTTGTTTAATTGTTAAATTGCTGAGATTAAATATTCAATTTATAAATTTATTTGGCTGTTAAGAGTGATTAAATAAATCAAGGAAATTTAATTGGATATTTCTAGGGGTTAAATCTTTGACAAAAAAGATTTCCTAAGATTTTTAAGCCCTTTTTTAAACTAACTTTAAGCTTAAAAGTATGTAAATTGAATCTAAATCTTAAAATTCTTAAAATTCCTGACTTAGTTTAGGGTTTCCCATAAACTTATATACCCAATCTTTTCCTCAGTGCCCCACTCCCATATTTTTGTAGGCCTTCACTGACCACCTAAACAAATACTTCCTGAATTTCCACATGTCCATAGCCATCGATCTGGCTAGTTAGTATGCACTGCATGGCTAGTGCGATCGTCAAGACGGCGATTGTTGGCCAAATGGCTGTTGACGTGACCGATCGACGGCCCCCAATGACCTCAATTTGCCATTTTCTTCTTCGATAATTGGGTTCAACGCACGTCGAACTAAATGCCACTGAATCATGGCAGAAAAACTGCTGAATTTACAGTTTTTTGGGGGGAAAACCCCAAGCCAGCTCAAGTTCTAAAAGTCAATGTCAAGATTTATGAGCTATTACCTAAGATCTAGGGCATGCCATAGGGTTAAGATTAACCTTTTGTCATGCTTGATGCTTATTTGGAAATTGAAATTTAAAGTGCTAGAACATGTTAACTTGGTTTTTTTTTACTATTTTTTATATTTATTTTCATTTTTCTTAATTAATTTTTATCTAAACAATGCCAAAGAGCATAAACTAGAGGAGAAAATTGACAAAGCGATCGTTGACAAGTGCAATTAGCTTGACATTCTTTGTGGTTTTTCTATCATTGTTTCGATGCTTCACTGTACACTACGAAAGTCTGAACTTTGTTCATTGAGGCTTTCTATGATTGTGTTTTAGTTTTTTATTATTTTTGTTTTTTATTTTAGTTAATGCGACTGCGTCACCGTCAGACGGAAGTTGGAGATTAAAATGGTCAGTGTTGCACTTTATGACCAAGATGTTTGGGTGTGTGTCTGCTGTGTGTGTGTGTGTGTGTGTGTGTGATCACCTGTCAAGGTCAATTAGCTTTGCCTAATTTTGACTAATTTTAATTATTTTTGTGCGCAAGTCGAGAGTGCCGCTGGTGTGGCTGCAATTTAACTTAAATGCTTGGCAAATGGGGGAAAAGTACAGAGAAGGGGATTTCTTTGGCAGTAAGAATAAAATAGATATAGCTATGGGGTGTATATATTTGCTGATTCTTATATACTTTTCCTTAAAAAACAAAATATTTTAGCTAAAAAGTCAAAACTTATATAAAAGTTGCATATTTGTTACTAAAAAGTTCGAATATTTTCACTTTTTGTGTTTAAGTTTGAATTCTAATAAGACATTTATTATCATTTTAGATATGTTAAAAAATATTTATAAATTTCAAAATTGCCTAAAACTTTTCAAAGACTTTACTAAGTATTTAATTTTATTTAATAGAAATTTTTAAAAAATTCTAAAAGGCATAGTTTGGCAGTTTTATGATCTCAACAAAGATCTCTTCCCATAAAGCCTTTTGTTTCTTATAAATCACCACCATTACCCAGCTGTAGAACATGTCTATATATCTCTCTATAATATACCTCCATATATATCTTTATCTGTAATGATTTTGGTTCCTTGGAAATTGTCTGCGATAAGGTTAATGCGCTTGGCACGTGAAGCCAAGTAACTGGCGAATGGCATGTACACAGGCAGGCCAGGCATATGCTTTAAGCCAAAATGTGGCAACAATTGTGTAAACACTTTTAACGAACAAAAACAAATGCACTAAGCAAAACAATTAAAAAAAAGCTACAACAATGAAGCACAGAAGAAAAAATAAAAAAAAAATATAAAAAAAATGCCAATGGAAAAATGAAAATGCCGTCGTTGTCTGGGATTTCCAAATCCCAAAGTCTAAATGAGAGAGGGGGTGACCCGGAGGCTTCATTCCTATTCGATCGAAGTTTCACTAATTACATTTTGCTGAATGATGTGTTTTGCCATTTGATGTTTCTCTTCAGTATTTTCCAATGCGCTTCATCATTAGCGACCTACAAGCGGATGCTGTGCCTTCAAAGTAAAGAAACCAAAAGAAAAAAAAAAGAAACTACTACTACTACCACCTTCTTCTGATAATAAGAACCCCCTTCGTGATAATGATAACACTCCAACCTTCAACAGATCGCATGCCCCACTTTGATTGACTTTGACTTTGATTTTCTCAATTTCTAGAAAATCAACAAAAATTCAAAACAAATTCAAATGAAAACCTAATCGATGTCAAGAGTCTATAAAAGTTAACCAATATTAACGTTTTCCTTGTAATAAATCAAGTATTAAGCACAAGGCTAGTTTCCCTAGTTTAAGCCAAGTAATTAAATTTTACTAACAAGATAAAATTCTTCAGAAAAAAAGAGTGCCAGCCAGCCAGCCAGCCACTGTGATAATAAGCCAAGATAAAAGATTAGCAGAGAGCCAAGAACCTTGTTAATGGGCCTTTAATTAAATTTATCAATTCCGTGTTTATGACAATGCCTTTTAGATAACAAAACCAAATTAACTTCTCGGCAAGCAAATGCTGAATTAAACTTCTGGAAGTAGGCAAAATCTTAAAATTAAATTGGTTTATTGCTCTCATTAAAATGAGTTTGTCTAAGAAATCAAATTTAGTCATAGAACAGATCAGGGAATAGTTGAGTAGTGACGAAAATGGTATAGAAATTTAGAGATTTATCTAATCAATTTTTAAATATTATGAAAAATCTTAATAAATATGTCTCTTTAATTAGAAATTTGTAGGTATTTTTTCAAGGTTTAATATGATTTTGAATAATATTTAATATTAGTTTGTCAAAAAAGTCTTGCGGTATTTTTGCTAGTTGGCGCTGAAAGCGCGTAGTTCTTGTTTTTTTCGTCGCATCAGGTCAGGTTATACCTTTTTGGAAAGCTCATTTCCCGCGCTAACACGTGTTTGATTGATTCTCTTTTCTTTTAAGTCGTTCGTGAGTTATAGCGCCGCAATCATGGAGCAAAATAAAGAGAAAATACGGCATATTTTACAGTACTACTACGATAAAGGCAAATATGCATCTCAAGGCGCCAACAAAATTTGTGCAGTTTATGGAACCGATACAGTTTCCATTTCCACCGCACAACGATGGTATCAACGTTTTCGTTCTGGTGTAGAGGTGGTCGAAGATGCGCCACGCTCCGAGTTTTTTGCCAATAGGGAAGCGAGCTTCTATGAGAGGGGCTTTATGAAGTTGGCATCTCGTTGGGAACGCGTCATCGAACAACAAGTTTGACTTGAATTGTAACCAATTTTATACCGCAAGACTTTTTTGACAAACTAATGTTTAATATTATTCATAGTAAAAAAGTTATTTAAAAGTTTTTAGGGTTGTTGCTGACCAATTTTAATATCTGTTACGATAACATTTTCCCCATCCATAAGGTTTTTAATTTATGTAAGTAGAGGTACTATATAAGAGTTATAATTTCTCGCATCACACGACTGAGTTCAACAACTCTCGTGGGAATAATTGGCTTAAATGAAAATTATTTTGCTATTCGAAAAGGTAATTGTATATTATTTTTAGTACATTATAAGTTGATACCTTTTTGTGTTTAAAACGAAAATATATTTATGAGTAAAGGTAAAGTCATTGACCTGATAAATAATATTAAAAAGCCATTTAATTCCCTTTCCATCATCTAAACATTTTTTAAATATTTTCTAAATATTCGAATTCAACTTTTTAGATATTTCTAACCTCTCCACCAGGATGTCGCCAAAAGATGGCAGTCTAGACGACGGCAAATTTGCCAAATACACGGTCAATCATGAGCCACCACCTTCTTCTGCTCCTCCTCCAATGACTACGACCACGACAACGACACTACCCACCAATGTGGAGAAAGCCCTGGTAAAGGAAAAGGATATTGCCACAACGACCACGCCTGTGAAACGATCTTGGCGGGAGAAGATCCGTCTGGTGGCCAACAATGTGACTGTGGAACCTATTCTGGCTGCCTACATCATGCCCAGCGTGCTCTCCAACCTGGCCACCCAGAATCTTAACCTGGAGAAGGCCTGTCGGGTGAACATGGCCTACGGAGATGAGGTGTGCGATGCCCTAACCCGCCGACAGACAGCCAACTATACATTGTAAGTTGCTTATTGATCCTTAGAATCTTTTTGAATATCCAAAATATTCTATCGATTATATTTAATCTTAAGTATCTTCCATTAAAAAAGGTGCCTGAAGGTATGCTGTCGTTATGTTTTAGTCCGGAATCACAAATTACTCTTTTTCGGAATCTACTTTTAGGCAGCTCTCAATGTTTTCTCTCTCTAAGCTCTTATTTACTTTTGCATTATTAAAATAAAATGTTGAATACAGTGGAAGGAACCTTCTGTCAAGAATTTGAAAAATTCAAACATTTGTTTATTTTCCAAATTATTTATCCTTTAAAACATTCCCATGTTAGATATTGATTGGCAACTTCAAATACAACCAAGCTAGAAACAGATATATCTTCAGATTCCACAAGGTATAGGAGAGCTATTCCAAAATGACACTTGCTAATTTTGATTTGTGATAGCCATTATCGAAGGCTAATAACCGTAACACCTTAAAGAAACGCTCCTAGCAGCGTCTTGCCATATTGTCCAACCGCTTCGAAGGCTTTTCAAGCCTGCCAGTTCCTTCCTTTGGAATAGATGAGGTCGATGATGGTGGGTTTCCACCAAGTCCCTTTCCCAGATGATGTTCTTTGAGCAACTCCTGGGCATATTTCAGCAATTCTGACCAGGAATATAATTACTTTACTTCCATTTCCAAATATTATTTGTGTATATTACCGAACTCTGTCTCAGCATCGAGTTTCTTACATTGTTCATCAGAGGTCGTATTGTTATTCATCGTGATTAATCAGCTCTTACGTAGTAAATATATGTGCTGCTTCGATGAGGTATCGCTGAATACTGATTTCCACAGATTACTGAGGCTATACAAGTTGACATTTAAAAGTCAGTGCTTCTGCGATGAGAAATATTTTGGATATCACAGTCCCAAAATATTTTTTTATGATGGTTTTCTCTTTTCAGGGAAGAGGAAACCGTGCAGCAGATGGTGGCACGAATGGCCGCCTGGAAGACGGTGATCCAGTCCCTGTTCCCCTGCCTGTTGATCCTGTTCTGGGGCTCGTGGAGTGATCGCCATCGCCGGCGAAAGCCCTGCATCCTGATCCCAGTGGTGGGTGAGTTCCTGGGAGTGGTGGGCCTCATGCTGTGCGTCTACTTCGAACAGGCACCCATGGAGGCGGCGGCCCTTACAGAGGCCATTTTCCCATCCCTCAGCGGTGGTTGGTTCACCATGTTGATGGGTGTCTTTAGCTATATAGCGGACATAACCACAGAGGAGGATCGTACGCTGAGGATTGGCATCTTGAATGTCTGCTTCTCGGTGGGCGTGCCCATTGGCATGGCTTTTAGCGGAGTTCTGCTCAAGTGAGTTGGGTTGGGTTTAACTTTCGATTTTTCCGAACTATAACCTTTATCTTTCCATCAGGCAAATCGGATTCTATGGTGTATTTTCGATATCAGCTGCCTTCTATGTGATAGCCTTCATCTATGGCTTCTGGTTCTTGGAGGAGCCTGTGGCCAGGCCGGAGAAGACTGCAGAACATAAAAGCCTCCTGGCCGACTTCTTTGACAAGGAGCATGTGGTCCAGACATTCCGAGTGGCCTTCAAGAAGGGCGAAAATCAGCGTAGGAAAAGGGTTATCCTGCTGATGATCGTGGTGATGGTGATCATTGGTCCCCTTCACGGAGAGATGGCTGTGACCTATCTGTTTACCCGCTTCCGCTTCAATTGGTCGGAGGTGGAGTTCAGTTTCTTCTCGACTTATGCCATGTTCACCGGCCTGATCGGTGTGATCTTCTGCGTGGGAGTACTCTCGCACAAGCTGAACATTGATGATGCCCTGGTTGGTGTCCTGTCCAGCACATCGAAGATCTTGTCCTCCTTTGTCTATGCCTTTGCCACACTGCCGTGGCATATGTATCTCGGTGGTCTGGTGGAGATCTTCAATGGCACGGCTTTCATTGCCATGCGATCGATAGCTACCAAGTTAGTGTCCAAGGATGAGCTGGGCAAGGTTAACTCGCTGTTCGGAGTGGCCGAGGCTCTGATGCCCATGGTGTTTGCCCCGATGTATACGACTCTATATGCAGCCACTTTGAAGGTTCTGCCAGGAGCGTTCTTCCTGCTCGGCGGTGGTCTGACCTTGTTCTCTGTGTTCATATTTCTGTAAGTTAAAATCCTTAAGAATCCTTAAGAATCCTTACTATAATCTCTCTCTCCTTTAGATGGATGTACCGCTTCCAGGTTCGCCAGCGTCAGAAACTGGCCACCACGGATGCGGAAAGTGCCGCCGCCGCCGGCGTCAAGGATCCCAATGGCAATATTAATGCCATCGAAGCTTTGGTTCTGGCCAGTGAGGCCAAGGGACAGATGAATGGCATCATAGCCAATGTGATACATGAATCTTTGGAGCATACTGAGCCATCAACACCAGCCACTAACAACGAACGGGGCATTGAGAACCATGGCTTCGTCCAGGAGGAGGTCAAGGTCAAGGATTGTTAGACGAGATGAGAACGGGATCCATGTATTAGTAGTCCCATCCTCATGTACATACTCACATTCTGCTAAGGAAATGCGGAGCAGGAGGGAGGAGTAAGTTGGTTAATCGATTTCAAAATCGATAACTTACTATCAAAATGAAAAGTTTGAAACTTTCGAATTACTCTCGAACCTAATCCCATTCCTAATCACCTAAACAATGTGTACAATTATCAATATTATATTTTTTTTATTTAGCTTTAAGCTTTCTAAATGTATCTTCGTTTTCGTTGTAATTATTATCGTATCCTTATTCCGATTTGTTATTTTGTATAATGTCATTTTTTTTCGTTAGTTTTAAGGAGCATTAAGAAGAATTTAATAAATGTGTAACATTGTCAGAAAGTAATGAGTTAATGTTATGGAGGAGGAGTTGCGAGTTCAGAGGGCGTGACATGGCATTTGGCTATTAACACTGTTTAACAAAATAGTGGAGACTAGGCCAAGGGATCTTGGTTTCCTGTCGCTTTGTCCTCTTTTTTCTGGTTGTGGAAAAGTGTTTTTAATATAATTTTCTTGGCAGTTGGGAAAATATATAAAATTCTATAAAAATCCCATGAAATTATCTGCCTATTTCTATCTCAGATTTATAATTCCCAAGTTGTTAAAGTTCCTAATCTCATGATACTTTCTAGATTGCAAAATTATAAGCAATAAATATTTCTAACAAAGAAGTCCTATGAAGTTTTCATATCAGTGATATTCCCATCTTCACTTTTAGTCATAAAATTACAAAAAAATTAACCAAAAAATATCTAAAAACCTTACTTTTGTCAACCAGTGCTGTTCGGACATCGTAATCAGTGTCGCTGGCAAACAATTACACACACAAATGAACTCTAGTTGGCGTGGTAAATGGAGTCCTGGCCGCGGGCCTATCGCTCTCTTCCTGTTCGAAAACAGGATGCCAGGAATTCAGGATATTCAGGAATATGAGAATATAGGAATCCTGGAGTTCCGGGGGGGAGGTGACGGCGGTCAAAGGACGAACGATATCAGACTGCGGACACGGGGCACTGAACAATTGGTTTGCTCATGTCGCTGATAATTGTCGATTACGTTGCACAAAACGGATGCGTTTTGTATCTGCCCCATGTTGCATGTCGCTCTATTGTTGCGCTTTTTGCGGTCTTTGCCATGAAAAGTGCAAGTTGGGAGTGCATTAACTTTGAGATAAGTCAGGGAATTGTACATATTTTTAATGTTTTATGGAAAGAAACATAAAGATAGAGACTTGCAAGAGCTTTTTTATGATTGGCTGATCTTATAAACTAACCACCTCTAGCCTTAAACCTTAAGACTCTTTGAAGCTTTAGTAAACCCATTAAGAAACCCATTCAGAAAGTGCATTCAAAGTTCGTTCTTGCAATATTATGCAATCAGACAGCCTCCACCAATGCCATCTGCCACATTATTGCTGGCCCGGCATTTTTGTTTTGGCAACTGCACGTGGCACGTATTGCACTTGACAGGACTTTCAGTGGGCGTGGCAGAGTCAGAGTCAGCGTCAGGTTTTAACTGCGACTGGCATCAGCATTTAGCTGGCCTTTAATTACTTTTTCGATACTGAACGCCCACCTGGAATTCCACCCAAAAGCCATAGCCATGGTCAAACTCAGTTTCAAGCCATCTACCAATCCTTAACAAAAATAAAAAAAACTTGTTGGCCATATATTCAAGTTGAAAATCTACAACCGACAACAACAACAACATGTTGCAGCAGAGAATCAGTGGGAAATTTGATATCGTATGTGGCCTATTTGTGGGGCCTTTTGTTTTTCGCCTGGCTTTCTCGCCCCCTCTCTCTCTCTCTCTCTCTGTCTCTTGACTTGTTTAAGATGATTCGTTGACCCATAAATAATTGGAGTAAACAATGCCAGCGAAACGAATTCGAGTTCCTCGAGAGTGTGTGGTGAAGTGTATGTAGTTCGGGGGGAGGGGGAGACCAACATGGCCATAAATCAGTGGCCAGCTGCATTTAATCTGGCTTAAACACGCATTTTCTTGACAATTTCACAGTAAACTGTTCATTAAACATGTCGTCCCGGAGTGCCGAGTGTTTTTCATTCGTCGGAATGAATGTGAGCACTCTGCATAATTAATACGCTTATTTTCCTGTGTATAAATCAAACAAATTCTATCGGTTAATCAAATTCAAAATACCCTCCCTCAATAACAGCCAACAAATACAGAAAGCCAAAAGCCAAAACCAAATCCAAATGCCAAGTCAAAGGCAGAGGCCAAAAGCGATCAGCCAGAATGGCTATAGACATTCGGATTTTGGTAAATCATCAAACGAGTTAATTAAGCGTAAGCTCCGTCAAAAGGCAACCAACGAATCTCGCTAAAAAGTAAGTATATTTATATAAAAAAGTAAGGGAATATATATTAAGACTTGAGAAGTACCCTTTACTTTGATGGATTCTGGTTGGAAATTTCGATTTTACAGAGTTTAATTAACAAAATATAATCAAATATTTTTAAAAAACCCTTATTTCTCACTATTCTAAGTCACATTCTTAACCCAAATCGAAGTTACCCTTCATCCCTGCCTACCAATGGGTGCTAGAATCTCCAGGAAGCCACGCTAAGGTTAAAGAACCTCGAGGAATGACTTTCTGGTCGGGCGAAAGTCAAGGGATTTGACCGTTAAATTCCCACAGAGGGTGGCTTATACACACACACATATACTCCTCCTCTATACAGACTCATTTTAGTCAGAGAAAGTCGGACACACACACATGTCAGTAAGCCTATTTTGTCTCTTGACCTCATTCCTCAGTCTGGGCTTTCGCTTTCCCTTCCGCTCCTTTCTGCCCTCTCCTCCTTCCGCTGCTGTTTCTTTGGCTGTTTCCGTTTCCGCCTGGCCAACTCCACATATTTCGAGTCCAACTTCGATGGCAAATGCTAAGTAGTTTCGCTTTTAGTGCAAAATACTTGCCACCTCTGGCCCACTTTTCCCCCAGTTCTTTTTCTGTTTTCCTTTTTTTTTTTTTTGCTTGTTGTTGCCACTTCACATCTCTTTGACTTTGATAGTTGCCACACTTGAGGGGAGGGCTGAAAAGGTTTTATTTTGTTTTGGCCTGTGTGTGTGTGTGTGCTGGCAATTTCCTCAAGAGGATTCTCGTTGGGAAAGCCTGGCTTTCCCTGTCTCCCCCTTAAATTGATGTATGTACTACTGTCCTAATCAATGGAATTGCTGGCAATCCGCTTGATGCGGGTGCTCGTCAAAGGCATAACCATGCCCCCCACACCCAATTAATACACCCGGAATGTAAAGTCAACCTAGGAGATGCCTGTATGTTGACCCTCCTTCTGCCCCACATCCGAGATCTCTCATTGCTAGCACCATCTGGGAGTCAATGTTGAACTTGAAGTTGCAACCTTGCAACCTTTCTATCGAAAGAAATGATTTTACTATCTAGTATTCATGTTTTTTTTTTGGATATTTAAGGCTGTAAATATTATTTTATTATGATAGCTTTATTTACCCCAAAAGAGTCAAGTTGAATTGAATTTGAATCACCAATAAATTTGTATTAAAATCAGTTTTATAAATATTGATTTTTTATCAACAAATTTCAGTATTTTTCCCATAACTAAGCCAATCTTGGTCCAAATGTGGAATGCAATACCTCGTTGAGCTTGTTTTCTAATTCGTAAACAATTTGTATTCAAAGCTGAATATGTAAAATTTTTGCCATTTTTCGAAAATTTGGATTATGGTACCCCTTACCAAAAATTCTATTTTTGAGTTCTCCAAACTCGAAAGCTTTTTGCTCATAACTTGGCCAATAATGGTCCAAATATGGAATGTAATACCTCGTTGAGCTTGTTTTCGTACCCTTATCAAAACTGCATTCACAGTTTGAAATGTCAAATTTGGGACATTTTTCGAAAAATTTTATGATTATCGAAAAAGCTAAATTGGATTATCCCGATTTACCACCCTTAAAAATAACTGTCTTATTATATTGTATAATAATGATTTACTAACTTCTTACCGTAATATATAATAATATATTTCCCGGTCTAAATAAACCTTTTTCCCTAATGCTAATGCAGTCAATTTGGGCCAATTAAGGCTAACAATTGCAGAGGAAAGTTATTGTGTACTCTGGCTGGCTGGCTACTCATTCACGCCTTCCATCCCCAGTTCCCAGTGCCCTGGTGTTGCCCCCGTCTTCATCCTCTACAGCTCTCCAATCCTCTGTGAAGTCAATTGGTTCGCCACCACAACATTAATGTGGCCCCTGTTCCAGAGGAGCCGCCGCTTCCCCTCACGACTTGGGCTTAAGTAAATATTTGGCCTACGTGCCCATTACGTGATTTTCCGATAGTCTCCCATCGATAAAGACGACGACGACGACGACAACAACGAAGACGACGAGGAGGAGGTTGTCGGGGTAGATGAGAATGCTGATGGTGCTGAATGGTGATTGGTGATGGTGATTGGTGATTGGTGATGGGAAGGTGCACTTGAGATGGGATGCAAAGGCTGCCACACCACTCGAGTGGTAAATGCAGAACGGAAACCTCTGGGCGGCATGCCTCGATGCCAACGAACTGGTGTGTGTGTGGTGTGTGTGATCCAAGATTTGTCTAAATCTTCCGATGAAATTTGTCCCTTTTCGGTTCGTTTGTTTTCAAAATCCCCTAACAATTGGGCAGATCGATGGGAACTAAATGGTTTTTGGGCAACATGTGGAAATGGTAGAGAAAATGGTAGGGAAATTCGAGGGGGTGTAGAATGTAAATTGAGACGTGTGAGGAAGATCGTTAATAGGTAATTGCTTAATAATCATTTAAAGTTTCTACTTTAACTAGAAGTTTTTAAATATTATAAGTTGAAAAATGTTAAGAAATTCAGAAACTAAAATCATAAAGAAAAACCTTCTCAAGATCAAACAAGAAACCAAATTGAATTCCTTGTAAAATTTTCTCTTGACTTTTCTTTTCTTTTCTTCTTCCATTTTTCCTGAATTACTTCCTTCATTTTCCATTCATCTGCATTGTAATTTTCTAATTGGTTGGTTTAATGTTTCCCAGCGAATGAAAATGCCTATTTAATATTCTGTCAAGAGCAGAGCTTTTCCTGTGCAGTGAAAACTGCAAATAATTTTGTTATTTTGGGGGCAAAAGCGAGGGCAAAAGCAAAAATAATAATAATAATAATAATAATACATCTGCATGCCACGTTTTTTTTTTGCTGTTCATTAACTCGGGAGGAGGACAGGGCAGGCAGTCACCGAGTCAAGAGCTCTGGCAACAAGGATGTGTTTCTGTCTGTCCTGCCATGTCCTATCCTCCACTGACTCCTGTCCTGGCCAAAAAACATCGCTTATATACGAGTATATATATATATAGAAAACTTTATGCTTCGTTAAAAATGATGTACAAATCAAATGCCAGAAGCAATTTCCCAGCAACAATTACAGCCAAAACACCAGCAGCCAGAGCAGCCTCGCCAAACCACAACAATGCGGGGCCAAGATGGGCAAGGGAATGTCTGGTTATACAAGAAGAAATAGTTGGTAGTTCCCCAAAGATGTATTAAGTAGGAAATACAAAGAGTGTGGAAGACGAAAATATATCTCTTTGGCTTTGATTTTCTAACTTAAATCGTCTTAGAAACTTTTAAGTTGCTTAAAGGGGACTGTGTATATTTATTTACCAACTTATTTCTGGTTAAAATACAAAATTTCTCCCTGTGTAAAACTCAATCCGGGGTCTAAGGGATGTGTGTTGTGGCGGACAGGCCAAAAGCTTGCGAAGGGCAATGAGCAAAAATAAATAAATCATTTAAATGAAAAAAAAATGAAGAGAAAATATACACAGCCATGTATGAGGATGCTGGGAAAGAAGGGGTCTACTACGGTTGGCCCACCCATAAGGCTCATTAGAAATACATAGAAGCAACCACAGCAACAACAACAACAACGGGAAACCGAGAAATAACAAATATTCCAGCTGAAAATTACAAAGTTGTAAGCCGAGCTATACTTTTTGGAGGAAAATTAATTGAAAATTTCAACAAATTTATGCGAAAGGATTGAGGGAAAATGTTGGGCGGTTAATTGAGGTCTAACTATGAAAATTAGATGGAAAACTAAATTTATTATATGTAACTATATGAAAATATTTATTCAGTGGATTTAAAAGTTTTTTTAGATAGATTTGTAGACTTTTTTTCATCAAAAATCCATCTATTTTTATGGCTTTTTAGGCAAATTAAAAAGTATGTTTACCTTTTCATCAAAGACATTAAAAAATCCTAACTAAAACCACTACTTAGTAAACACCTGACCTGATTTATCCATCACATAGTTTTTCCCAACACAACACACACCTTTCATTTTCCCAATCTATGCAAAATACTTAAAAGGAAACAGCTCAGAGTTACCCGAAAAATCATCGCGATTGTGGGACAAATTTTTGGCAAAGCAGGCACAATACGCGTTTGTGCCACGCCCACAAAAATGAAAGGCGTTGACCAGAGGCATCATCGCCACCGTCATCGTCATCATTATGATCATCAGTGGCCTCATCTGGAGCAGCTTACTCCCAGAGCTCTATAATGATCGTAATGATCAGGTGCTGACCATTTACATTTCGCCCGACCAAGTGCCAGGCGGCGTCATAATTACATGTTCCGCACTTTTTGGTGCACAGAGAGAAAATGTTTGGGCTTATATATGATGTTTAATATTGATAGAAATAAAACTTCTTAAGATAAAATAAAGACTACGTTGCAGGGAGTATAAATTCAGTAAGATTTTCGAATTTTAAAACTGATTTAAAATGAAAATTACAAGTGATGATGATCACTAATCACTAATATGATCTACTCTTATGATAACACCACTTTAATTAGTACCAAATATTTCTCTGAGTGTCTTTTGACTTGAGCCTGATCCAAAGCGGCTCAGTTTTCCGACTGCTGGAGCTTCGGGCGGAGTGAAATCGACCGAAAGTTTTCTTTAATAGGAAAAAGCAAGCCAAATCTCGCAGCGGTTTCCTAGTCGAGGAATCAAATGAAATTTAAATTCCATTAAGGCCAGGCCTTGGAATTAGCCAAATGGACCCAAATCAACAACAACAAAAAGGGGCAAGCGGCAAGCGGCAAGCGGCAAGGGGCAAGGGTAAATACCAAGCAGGTCAGCAATCAGCAATGAGGAAAAGAAAAGGAGTCTTGGGGATGGGACACACACACACACACACATGTGGATGTGCGGGACGGCATAAATATTTACAAACAATGACGACGGAAAGCCAAAAGTGGCGGCAGAAACAAATCTGTTATAAATAAAACATAACGAAAAAGATTTCCAACTTCGGGCAAAAAATCCACTTGAAAACCCAGACCCAAACTGGGATTCCATCCTCGGGAAACCAAGAAATAGGAGCCCAAAAAAGACCAAGAAAATATATGTATACATATATATTATATATATATAATATATGTCAAAAACAATAAATCAAAACGAGAAAGGAAGTGCACGAAAAGAAATTAATGGCTATTTAATGATTCGCCTTTCAAAAACACTCATTTTTGGTTTTTTGGCTGGAAGAAGTCCTAGAAATATGCATGAGTTAAGGAGACTTTTTATATGCTTAAGCATAACTAACATATATGGAAATTTAAGACTCTTTATCCTACTTAAATTCCACCATTTAAAAATAAAAGCAAAAGTTTAGCTATTTTTTTCAGTGTTCTTGGGAGATGCTTCCATCGCAGACCATTCGAACGGAAGCCCTGTCCCAGAGACCGGTGAAGATTTCTACCGGCACGTTCCCTTTCGGCGGGCGGCGCACTTAAGACCCTCTGTTTTTCTTCTTTTTTTACAAATCACTGGTTGAGGCATGCCACTGGGCAAGCTCCGAGCATTAAAAATCGCTTTTTCAGGAAGAAGAGCTCCAGAAAAAAAAGTAAGACAGAAAGAACTGTTGCGCAGGCGTCGCAGTGTCTTCTTCGCCAACTGAATCAGACTTATTCAACATATTTATGTATATATATATATGTATATATAGTATCCTCTATCTGCGATTAGCATTTGTGAATGAGTGGAATTTAGAAACGGAATCATGACAGCGGAAGTTTTGGGAACGGAGTCTTTGTTGTGAGGAAGGTGCGACCTGAAATCGAGTAAGGTAAGTTTCTTTTTTGACAGATTTCGTGTGCGAAATATTTTACGAGGGGAGAGCCTACAAAATTGAATTAATAAATGAGGGTAAACATTTTTTATTATATTTTTTCTATATATATTTATATTTTTAATCGATATTAAGAATTTAATTTCGCTATTACAAATTCTTTTAGATATTTTTGAATAAAAACAAAGAAAATCCGTAGGTCTATGATTGATTATATAAAAATTCAAACTAGTTCCAATGAGAGATATACATATACATATCTTAATTAATTTATATTTTTTACTTAAATTTCTCATAGATGGTACTGAAAAAAGGGAACTTGGATTACCAAATATATAAAATTATAATAGATATAGAACATATGCACATAGTAAATAAAAATACACATTTCATATAATTGAAATGAGTAGATAAAGTATCTCGAAGATTAAGAGTTCAAAGATCGCGTATTTTTGACATATTTGTTGAGTCCCTTATCAACATCGTCCAGACACATTGAAAATCGAAGCAACATGAGCATGAGCCACTCAATAAAGAGAGCTAGCAACAAATGTTGCTGGGAGCGTTAGCAGCATGAACAGCATCCAGCAACATTGGCTTAAGAACGCACCTCTTAGTTTGGCTACATTAATTATTTCATATTTTCATTTCCAAAAAGATTTAACTAATTGTAATTGACGAAGATGATCATAACTAGAAAATAATAAAATTATTACCTTAAAAACGGGTTTAAAAAATACTATGATACATTTCTTTAATAAGTGTAATGAATTAAAGTGTTTTTTTTAAGTTTGGAAACAACATAGCCCTATTGTAATAGTAGAACCGACTTAACTTTTTAAAATATTAATCAACTTAATTCTGTTTTCATACCTAAAATATTTGGTAGCTTTATAGTTTATAATTTACACACAAAAAAGCGTAAATTTCCTTTGATTTTAAATGTAATAAATTTTTATTAAAAAAATGTTCCTATTTGCATTCTTTAAAAATGAATTTAACTAATATTAACTTAGTTTGGTGACATTTACTCTGCATCCAATGTTTGCTTAGCAACAAATGTTCCCAAGCGGCAGCATCAACATCTTTTGACGGCTCTCTCTTTAATACCAGTTATACGCTGAGTGAAAGGGTATATTGCTTTCGTTGAAAAGTACACAACAGATAGAAGGAAGCATTTTCGATATAAATTCCTGATCAGGATCACTTGTCGAGCTTCTTATCACTTTCTGTGCCTTCCAAATTATTTTTCCTATTTTTTTTTTTAAATCAGAATATATTAATTTTGTTAACACCCATTAAACTACCAAATGATCGCGTTTGTAAAAATGAAACATTATCATTATTCATTATATTAAAACATACACAGTCATCTGCTGTAAGCCTATTTACTTTACAAGCAATGCACAGAGTAATGAGTATCTTAAAGTCGGTTCACTCGACCATAACGTTTCATCTTGCTTGGATGTTGAAACCAAAGCAAAGCAAAGCAAAAGCAAACAGTTTCGACCGAGCGTTTGCCAGGTGAACAACATTGAGCGGCGCTAGCGAGCGATTTCGAAGCGATTCCGAGGCGATTTCGAGGCGGTACGAAATCGAAATCGAAACCAAACCGAAGTGCGCGTCGGGCATTCGTAGTTGAATATTTTTTTTCAGTTATTCAGTTCTTCGAGTGCGAGTGCGAGACAGAGAGAGAGAGAGAGTGTGAGAGCAAGAGTGGGTGTGGGGGTGACAAAGAAGGAGCACCAGCCTCCGTGTTAAGGAGGTGATATATGCACACACATACATACATATTGCGCCAGGACGACGAGAGAATCGAAACGAATCGAAACGAAACGAAAGGAAACGAGAGGAAACCGAGACTCACTAGAAACACAGGACCTTTTTTGGGGGCAATTGGCGCGAGGACATCGTCGCGGCAAACAGAAACACGCTGGCCGTTGACCGAGTGGCAACGCAGCCCGGAAAATCGGTTTTTGCCAATTGGATCGTAGAATTCGAAATTCTAAGAACAAGAATAAATCAAAAAAGAAAAAAAATAACTAAAACCAAAAGAGAGTACTATATATCGTATCGGTGACTATATAAAAACTGAGATTTTCGGCAGCTGTTGCATGCCGTTGCGGCAGACTCAGTGACGCCGCGTTTTGCCGTCGTCGCGTCTCGTTATATTTTTTTTTTGTTGATTGTTTGTTTGGTGACCCCGACGCGAAATTGATCCTCGCGTGTGTGTGAGTGACTGAGACAGCTAGTATATATATCTATCAAATATATCCCATTACTAAGAAAACAGATCAAGTATTAACAAAACAAAAAAAACAGTGATTGCGGGATTGTGAGTCCCCCGGAACGAGGTATTTCGCATTCGAGCCAATGTACGTAAAATGCCGCTGGGATCCTATAAGCTTTGATTATTTCAATATCTATAAAGTGATAAAATATTGACTTAGGGAGTTTTAAAGACCGTTAAATTATAATCTTTAAAGTGCCAGATTTCTGTTTTTAATTGGTATATTAACTGGTAGTTTTCCCGGGAAATAAATTAAATTAAAATTTATTCAGAGTAATAGTAAATAAAACTTTAAGTAATGTGTAAAAAGAAATAGTGTTACTGTTTGTGGAAGTTTTACTGTCCAATAACTTAACGATGTTAGTTAAATTTTTATAGTTTTTACAAGTGAAAAGTGAAGTGAATTAGTTAGTCAATTTAACGATTATATTATTGCTATTTAAAATTTAATTGGTGTGGTTAAATAGGAAGTCTGATTATTAATATTTAATATAAATACGTAAATGGATAAGTTAAAGGAAATTAATCTGTCTAAAGTTTTTTAGATTTTGCACTTTCTAAACTAAACGTGCTAGCTATTAGATTATTTTTTAAAATTAAAAAGTATTCTTTAGAAAAATTCATATCAGAAGCTTATAGGATATTCCTCAATAGTCGCCAACCTCGACTATATAGTTATATTCACTTCCAATTTAGGGTCAGAGCGACAGGAACAATGATGGGCCTGCTCCTGCCTTTAATCCTGGCACTGGCCATCGGATCCTCGGCAGCCGGCATCTCGGCCAATGATCCCTGCTACTTCGAGGGCAAACCGCGCAAATGTCTCCCCAGTTTTGTGAACGCCGCCTACGGGAATCCTGTCCAGGCATCGAGTGTTTGTGGTGCCCAACAACCAGAGCGATATTGTGAATTATTGCGCGATGGAAATGCCGGCGAATGTCGTCCGTGTGAACAGCAACGATATGGTCCGGCGGCTCTAACCGATCTGAATAATCCGAGTAATGTCACCTGCTGGCGTTCGGGTGCGGTTAATGTGCCGCATGATCCGGATACGGCGCCACCGGATAATGTTACTTTAACCCTATCGCTGGGCAAGAAATACGAGCTGACCTATATATCGCTATCGTTTTGTCCACGCTCACCGCGTCCCGATTCTCTGGCCATATTCAAGAGTTCCGACTTTGGCCAGACTTGGCAGCCCTTCCAGTTCTATAGCTCCCAGTGCCAGAAGTTCTATGGACGACCAGATCGGGCTAAGATCTCCAAGTTTAATGAGCAGGAGGCGCGTTGCATTAATTCCCAACATGATACCGGTGGAGCAGCCCAGCGATTTGCTTTCAATACGCTAGAGGGTCGACCATCGGCCAATGATCTCGACTCCTCGTTGGTTCTCCAGGATTGGGTAACGGCCACGGATATAAGAGTGGTCTTCCATCGTTTGGAATTGCCGCCGCAGCTGCTGAAGGTGAAGAATGCCAATGCGTTTAGTGATGAAATGGGCGGAAGTCGGGAGGACGATGAGGATGATGATGCTGATATGGAATTGGATGGGGATCAGGATGAATATGATTACAATCTGCAGGATAACGACAGTGCCGATGCCGGTTACGATGAGTACGAGGAGCCCAAGAAGCATTTGGAACTGGATGACGATCATCTGGCATTGGATTATGCCAGTGATGGTGAATCCGTTGTCAAGCGGCAGGGAAAACACAAGGGCAATGTCTATGAGAAGCATTATCAGAGCAAACTGGCAGTCACCACGCCACCACAACAGTCATCCAAGGCCACGCCACCGGGTAAGATAACGCCCACGAGCACAGCTGCCCCCGGTGGAGGTGCCGCCTCTGTGACCTTACCGATTTCTCAGCACTATGCCGTCTCGGATTTTGCCGTCGGCGGGCGATGCAAGTGCAATGGTCATGCCTCAGAGTGTGTGGCCACTGTTAGTTCGGGATCAGGTACAGGATCGGGCATTTCGGAATCGGATGATGGACAGGATGAGGATACACCTTCGGCCACCTCGCTGGCCCAGCACTTTGGACGCAGCACTCAGATAAGCGCCAAATTGACCATGACCTGCGCCTGCAAACATAATACCGCCGGACCCGAGTGCGAACGCTGCAAGCCCTTCTACTTCGACCGTCCCTGGGGCAGGGCCACCGATAACGATGCCAACGAATGCAAAAGTGAGTACTTATCTTTGTAGATATTACATTAGATATTTATATTAACAGGGTTATTAGATTATAACCCTTTGATATTTTTAATTACAAAAGTTTTAGTACATTAAAGGGTCTTAATCTAGGACGTTACATCTTTTAATATGATAATCTAACTTAGTTTCTGTACCTTTTAACTAATCAGTTAGTCAAGGCCTTTACTTTGTGGGCTTCCCTGTAAGGGTAAAACAGATGCAGCCAAGAGTTAGTACTTAGGGCCTCAAAGTGCACCTCTAAAAGCCCTTGAAAATTTCAAAATGTTCTTTATAGTGTCCTTGCATTTTTAGTGCAAGAAAAATAATATCTAAAATAAACTATAAATGTCTTCTAGGCTATATATCTTTTTTAAGGATAACCAAATAATGTATTCTGCTTAAATTTTTAAAACTAAGCTTGTAACATAAATAGCATAAATAATTAAGCGATAAATATCAATGCTCATGCATTTTCTACAACTCATAGATAGGAAGTTTTATCTAACTTATGTACTATATATAGTTTAAATTAATCTTAAAAAGTCTTCAGATAATATTGAAAATGTAGAAGTGAGATTGTGTTATCTTAAACCGCCTAAAAATACTTAGTAGATATTTTGTTCTGTCAAAAGATTGAACAGCGAAGTAAAAGGAAAACGTTTTTAAGATATATTTTCAGAATCTATAATTGAGATCTGAACTTTTAGGAATAGTATAAAAGACCGAAATAGTTTTAACTACTACCAAGCAGAGAAGAGAAGAAAAACTATATAGTTTTTAGATATTTTCTTACAAACATGACACTTTCTATCAATCCTTAGTCTGACTTTCCTTATAAATACGACACTTTTCATGAATCTTGAGCACTCGTCGAATCATAAAGCAAGTGCGATTTGAATGGCAAGCATATTTAAATTGAACTTAAATTGCTGGGCCCTGTTCCACTGCCATTGATATTGATCATTCCATCTGGCCTCGGTCAAGAGCAGAGGTCTTTTCATGGTCACTCACATTGGACAGTGCAATTGAGTGCATTTGCTGGATGGCAGAAAAGTTGAAGGAGTTGAGGATTGGAAATGGGGGGATTGGTGATTGTGGACTATGGATTCGAGTGGCGTTTTCAATTGCGAACATTGTGTGATTGTGATTGTGATTGTGCCCTCCGCGTCCTTTCATCACCCCCAATCCCAGTTGCCTTGCATTTGAGTACTTTAGCCCTGCACTGGCGGCAATCGCCATCGATGCCATCCCTACTACCATCGCCTCCAAATTGCCATCAACATTCTTCTCTTTGCATTTTTGGTGTTTTATTCGAGACTCGGAATGGTGCAGTTGAATGCCTTGTCTCGAGATGATTGTCTGCACATCCACTGCCAGTTGGCACTCGGAATGTGAACTCCGCAAGTGATACTCCCCCTCTACACCATATCAGGATTTTTATCAGCTATGCCCATTTATGCCATCCACCCATAGACCAACATCATCATCATCATCAGCTTCAACATCAACATCATTCACACTACTTTTCTATATCGTCTTACCTTTGCCAGCCACGCCCACTATCCGCCTACGCAGAGGGGCCATAAATTACTAACGATTAACTTGTTGTAGACCATTGACGACGACGTTGTTGTCCTCATCCAGAATTAATCAAAAGCTAAAACCAAGAGGGCCAAGAGGGCAGTCAACTGCCCAGGAAGAAAAAAAAAAAGGGTGGATATGGAGAGATTGGCTGAAGGAAGGGGGTCAGAGGTTAGCTTAAAGACTCAACGGAACGTCGGTCGGCACTAATTTATGGCTTATGGCAAAAAAAAGAGAAGAAAATCCCATGACAATTGCCAATGGAAATGGCCAACGAGTTGGGAGGCAAAAAAGGATTAGCCTGAATGGGGAGGGAAAATAGTAAAGAATTAATGGGTATTAGCAATTTACTAGTTAGTAGAGTTTAAAGTGCATTAAATTTCATTCAACTTAAGATGAAATAAACCCTCAATTATTTTCTATAAACTTGCAATTGAAATATTTAAATTAGATTCAAGTGCTGAGCACTCTAGTCCGGGATTGCCCTCGAAAGTCGGTAAATCTCCGTAAACAAAGAGCCCCCCAGATCCTGGCCGAAACATTTCCCTAAACTCTTTAACCCATGGCCAACGGCCCTTAATCGACCTTGAAGCTTACTAAGCCAAATAAGCCGAAAGTTGTCCGTCGACTTCCGTGCGTTTCCATCAGCTTTTCCATCCATCCAACCATCCATCCATCCATTTATCCAGGCCGCGAGGAGGGGAGAAAAATTAATTTTCTATGGCTTAAATTTGAATTAGTCTCCGCCGGAATCCCCCAGTCCGGACTTCATTACAAATGCAACGAAATAAACAGCGCGGGGCGGCGGGAGGATGGGAGGACAGGGATTGGGTTGCTGGAAAGATGGAGCGCGCTCGGAAAGTGATAAAAAATATTTATGTCTGGGCCAAAATTCCAGCCGCCGGCTGTCCTTGTCTCCTCCCTCCTGTCCCATTTCCCTACCACAACCATCTGTCTAGCTCGCCATTCCTCTCCGGCACTTGCAATCTCCTCCAGCTGACCACTATAAGAATACTAGAGAATCAGCAGAGTCCCAAAAAAATCAAAAAAAGATTTACAAGCAGCAAAGCAAAAGCAAAAACAAAAACTGTAAAACAATACAACAAGAAGGCAGTTTTGCATTAACACAACGAATTTTTAAATACCTCACACTTAAGTTGTAATTTTTATAAAAATCAAAAGATATCTTATACATATACATATATAAATCAACTATCTCTTCCAACATAATGTTTTGAATATCAGATATAATTATATTCAAATACATATTAAAACTGATATATCATAAATTGCTAATAATTGTAGGGTATACTTTGTAAAGGGAGCCAAGGCGTGTACCCAAATAACGGAGCTAGCGAAAAGAGTAAATATTGAAAAGGATAATACAAACATGTCTCTACCTGCTGGCGTGTGGCTTATCTCGCGGTCCCACTTCCACTTTCAGTTCCAATTCTTATTCCACTTCCACTGGATCCCCACCTAAAACGTTTTATTCCGTTTTGCTTTATTCGTTGGCGATTTGTCTCGATTGCGTTTGCCTAAAAATTGCTCTCATTCACCGGTTCACCCGGTATTTTAACTGTGCACAGTGGTTCGAAATAGATTTTTATTTACTTTTTTCAAAATATGAAAAAGTTACTGCCTGGAACAGTTTTAAGAACTGAATTGTATAAATTTATAAATTGTGAAAATCTTTCTTATGGTGAACATCTGAATATGTAATTAACTACCTTTGACCAACTGTGCATTTGAATCGCCTCATTGGCTCTCCGCTCGCGGGTCTCTGGGGTCGAGTGAAGCGCATCTAATGCGAGACATCTGTTAATTTTTTGGCAGGCTGCAATCGCAGGGAATACGGTAAATCGTGGGCGGGGGAAACCAACAAGCCAAGGGGCATCATCGATGGCTGTGTTGTCCCCTGCCCATTTGAACTGGACCTAAAGGACTCACACTCTCCCTCTATATCTTTCTCTTTCTATTTCTCATTGAGATGCTGTTGCTGCCTTTGTTTATTACATTTATTTGTGTGTGATTTTCATATGTTTACTATTCCCCCTTCGGGGGTGAGCGGTGTGCGTCCTTTAAATGGTGAGGGTGGTTGTGAATGAATGTTCCCTTTTTCCGAGGGCTGTTCGGTATGTTCGGGGCGCGACTAATTCGTTGCGTTTACATTTGCAAATTCCGCCTGGTAATCCCGGCAGCTGTGCGCATTTAACGTGTCCGGGGAGAGGTGTAAACGGAGCCACGAGCTTACTTCAATCCCCGGCACCCACAACTGACTTGCAACAAATTGCCCCAGCTTAAGTTGCAGTGGCATTTCTTGCACTCAAAGAAATTAAAAGTTATTACAATTGAAAGTAAAATAAAAAAGTTAAGTTAAGCTAATTGTTTACCTAATTTATCTTTGATTACTTTGAGGCAAGTTAAAGTGAGTTAAAAATAAGATATTAGGGTAGTAAGATATTTCTTCCAGTGTAGACTGAAACTGTTGGAGAAACAGTAGCAGTAACAGCAATAGTAAGAGTTACCTAGCGGTTGGCAGTTAAGTTGTTGCACATATGCAACATGGAGGAGATTCTGGATGCCGGATTCTGGGCCATTCTGGACGAGGTGGTTGGCAAACCGAAAGCAAAATGCAACATTTTATTGCATAACCGCAACACTGTGGCTCTCTGCCACACCTCCTCTACCCTTTTTATGGGCGAAATGGGCGTGGCGTGTCAATGTGATAAAATGCTGGCAGCTTACAGTTTGCTTGTTGTTGCGATTGCTTTGCTTTTTTGCCTCGTGGCTTTATTTTATTTTATTTTATTTTTTTCCCCCGACTGACGGGATGGATGATGCCTTAAAGTTTGTGGCAGGGAAAAAATGTGTGTTTGTTATTTAAAAAAGAGCCGTGAAAATGCAAAAAAAAAAAAAGAAAAAGGACAGAAAGAAAAAGAAAAACTAGAGGAACATGGAAATGCATAATGAGTGTCCTTTGTGTAATGGAAGGACTCGCACAGACTGTACTTCATTTGCATGCAGCACAACGGGTTATATTATATGGATGTGATTTGCTGAATGGCCGGAATTTAAAAAATTCCCTCTGGGCATCCTAATAAGGCTGAATTACACTCTTTGTTTGGCATGTGAAAATGCTTTTGAGCTTTTCATTATATGAATGAATAAAACTATAAGGGAGATACGATGTATGTGATGAAGTGGAATATCCCTCAGAGGAATGGAATTTAGTGGAGAAAAGGGACTATCTATTCAAAGTATTTAAAGAGTCTTGTGTAAATTAATCTTATCTTTTGGGAGTAACTCTTAAGTTTTACAGAAATTATAGAAAAACATTTTAAGCTGCCTCCCTGAACCTATTTTAAAGTATTTTGGTAGACTTTTGGGATTGGTAAGGTAAAAGTACAG